TAAAAATTTTAAAAGATACTCTCTATAACTGTTTCCACATAACTTAGTTTGTAACATTATTATGTAAGAAATTGTACTATTTTACATAATTATCTCATTTAGTCCCCAGAATAACCTTACGAAGTAGGAATGTTCTTTTTAGCTGGGCATGGTGGTGCATGCTTGTAATCCCAGCACTTTGGAGGGTGAGGCAGGAGGATCACCATGAGTTCAAGGTCAGCCTAGGCTACGTAGTGAGTTCAAGGGCAGCCTTAACTGCAGAGTGAGACCCTGTCTCAAAAAAAAAGTTCTTTTTATTGAGAAACTAAAACAGAGACTGAGTAATCTGCCCTATGCCATCCATACTTGAGAGTGGAATCATCTAGACACAGCTGACTGGGCACTGCATCCCATGCTTTAAAAATCAAGCATACAATTACTTCCTGAACTCCAATTTTACAAACTAAATTAGTAAATCAACCAATATTTCAACAATAACAACAACAATAATGATATAATATATTGGATCAGTTCAGTTCTGGAAACAAAGTTGGATATTTTAGATAACACAAATGAAAGAAGGGAAAATAAAAGATGATAGTTCAGATTTACATGGTTAGTGAGATTTTTCTAGCACTGCGATAACAGGAAAATCACTGATTTATTTTTAAAGTCTTTGTTCATTTTTGTGAAAAAAAATCTTCAAAAGCCCTTCAATTTCAAGGTTTTCTTTTGAGAGTATGTCAATATGAAATATCCTTCTAGATGCAGTGGTGCACACCTGTAGTCTCAGGTACTCAGGAGGCTAAACCAAGAGAATCTGTCACAAGTCTGAGGCCAGCCTAGAAAACTTAGTGAGATCCTGTCTCAAAATAAAAAATAAGAGTCAAAAATGTGTGAGGCCCTACAAATCAATCCCCAGTAATGAAGAAGAAAAAGACAGACAAAAAGAAGAAAAAAGGAAAAGAAGTATCTTGTGGTATTTTCAGAAGTTTTATAATTATTTATAAATGAATAGAACGAAAGATCTTGATAATATGTAACAGAATTCTTTACTTTCAAAGACAGTTAAAGGTAATACTTAAAATTTAACTGAAGAAGTGTTTTTATTTTTGTTTTGAGAGGGCAGGTTAAGGCAGGGTCTCCCTTTGTAATTCAGGCTGGGCCTGAACTCACTATGTAGCCCTGGCTGGCCTCAAACTTGCAGTGACCCTCCAGCCTCAGCCTCCCAAGTACTGGGATTACAGGTGTGCGCCACCATGCCCAGCTCTAGGAAGTGGTATTTTTGGGGGGGTGGGGCGGGGAGGGGGTGGTTACCAGGGATCGAAATCGGGTCCTTGTGCTTGCAAGGCAGGCGGCAGAACCACTGAGCTAAATCCCTGGCCCAGGAAGTGATTTTTTAATGGAAGAACAGCTATCAAATTTAGAAGTAGGGAACCTAATTCCAAATCTATTTAGAGTCTATATATAATGATCTCTTCCCTCCTCTTTCCCCACAATAAAGACAAACTTGTTAGGAAGGCATCTATAATAGATGTATGTTGGGAAAGCAAATCTGAATACGCAATGAACTGACATACATTTCTGTTCATTTGTTGCAAACTAATAGGCAGACCTTGTCTAATCAACAGTACCTTTTTATCACATCCAGGTGTGGATAAAATGCATTACAAACAAATTGCTTGGGGTAGGGGTGTAAATCAGTGGTAGACAGAGTGCTGAGCATGCCGAAGGCCCCGAGTTTCATTCCTAGCAGCACCACAATAATGAAACAATCTACTTAAAGAATTATGTGGTCTTGCAGAAAGGGAAAAAATATCACCACAATCAAATTTATTTTAATTTGCAAAACTCACTTAAGCTTGCAACAAATTACTACCAAACTAGAAACTGGGTAGCATTACAAAGATGCTATTGTTTATACTGGTGCTTAAATATAACATATAGCATATGTTATATATTACTTTCCTTTAGTACTTTAAATGCATACACTAACTTTGAATGAATTACCTTGCTTTTGTTCACAGTTCACAGCACAGCCTAAAATGAGCTGAAGCATCCTTCCAAGCTCTGCTGCATCAGAATGCTCCCCAATAAGGTTCACATCAGGAAGGGTAAAGTCATTAATCTGCTGTCCCAAAATCTGAATGAAGACAAAGAGATTACAAATGCATTTGCTTTTATAAACCAAATAAAATATTTGACAGAGATTAATTTATTACCAAAAACTCACTGCCAAGGACAGAGCTGTTCTGCCAGTCTCACTCTGAATTTCCACTTTTACCTCCCACACCTAAGTTATAACTATCTGCGGTCGTAGGAACTGAGTCCCTAATCTGAAATGGCTCTCTTTAGGACTTTCATTTATCATGTTTACCTTTTTTTTTTGGTACCGGGGATCGAACTTGGGTCCTTGCGCCTTCGAGGTAGGTAGCGGAACCACTGAGCTAAATCCCTGGCCCTGAGTCCCCAATCTGGTATGTGGTATGTACACTGAAAAAGAAACTGTGTACTAAGGAGGATTGCATGTTCGCTTTCTGATAAACTAGAACCAGAAGGTTCTCAACTAGGGGGCACCAGAAAGAGCTGAGTAAACAGAAATTCATGTCAACAGTAAGACTTTCCTTAGCCATCTTCACTGCATTTGATTCCCAAAACACTAGTAGCAAGGGATATCAGGAAGAATGGAGGATTCTTTTATGGGGAAAGTGACAGATCTCATATGAAATGACATATGCAAACAAATGTAAAGATTTCTGCCTGATAATTCCAAACTGAAATTTAACAGTATAAAAAAACCCCCTCACTTAAATTCCAATCAGCTTTACTTTGTTTTTAAATATCAACAAACAACCCAAGATTATTAAGACGTTTGAGAAGTCTCCCATATGAAAAACAAAGTCAGAGGAAAGCAAACAGTGCAAGAAATGGAAACAAAATCCTACAATTAGACATCTATATAAGGAGTAAAATTATCAAGAAAAGCAAAAATAAGATTATTTAAAAATTCAAGATCATAGTTTTTTTTGGCTAGGAGGTGAGAAAACACATTATGAACAGAAGACACAGTAGCTTTTAAAGATGGTGACAGTGTTCCACAGACCTGTTACATACATATACACATCATGTACTTTTCTGAATGCATGTTTATTTTACAGTGAAAACGTGATGTGGGTTGTGGGGAAGGAGGTCTGCTAATCCAACCAGATGATCAAGGAATGCCTCTTACGTTGAAAGAAAAACTGAGCAGAGGGGCTGGAAGTGGAGCTCAGTGGTAGACCACATGCTTGGCATATGTGAGGTCCTGGGTTCCATACCCAGCACCAAAAGTAAGCAAACAAACAAAATAAACACTCCCATCCTCCCACCCCCCAAAAAACTCCTTATCTAGAATTAAGAAGCAAACCACAAAGCAATACATCAGGGGAAAATATACTACACAAAAGATTACCCCAGGTCAAGGTAGGAGTGCACTTGATTAACTTCAGCAATAGCCAAGACCAGCAGGGCTAGGGCAGATAAAGTTAAATTAGGGGTAGAGGGCAGATCATTTAGGTCCTTGTAAATTACATTAAGGATGAGGATTTTATTCTAAATAATGGGAAAATAAACTGAATTAAATGAATAGGAATACACCATCAACTCAGATTAAATCCAATCCTCATTCTTTTTATGCCACAGGGTCCAGTGCCTTTGGAGTGAGCTGGATTCCCAGTGCCACCCTCCTTTGCAGCCTTGGGAATGGAGTCCAGGGGTACTCTACCACTACGTTACATTCACAGGCCTTTTTATTCTGAGACAGGGTCTCACTAAGTTGCCTAAGCTGCCCTTGAACTCGAAATCTTTCTGCCTTAGCCACCCTCAATGATGGGATTACAAGGGTGACTTTTTTTTTTTTTTTCTCGTAGAGAGAGAGTCTTGCTAAATTGCTTGGGCTGGGCTGTAACTTGCAATACTTCTACGTGAAACTCCCAGAGTATGGAGATTACAGTCATGTACCACTATGCCTAATTTCTGCCTTGAGTAGGAATATCAGTCTTTAGAAGGATATGCAAAAATTGCTCATAGTGATGCTTACTGGGAGGAATCTGGGCAGATGGGTTAAGAAATAAATAAAATAAATAAAATATGAAAGTAATGCAAGAATATATAAACGCTCCCTTCAGAAAACAAAAAAGAGCTCTTGAGAATCAAAAATATGATTTAGCAAAAACAGAAGCATTAATGGGCAAGATGGATAAAATTTGTGTAATAATCACAGAAAGAGCAAAACACAAGAGGGAAAAAAAGAAAAGTCAGATAATTAAGGATTAATCTAGAAGGTACAGAGACTGAACAGTTTTAGGAAAAAAGCAAACAAAATATGTGGGGAAAATGACATACATGTATGTAAGAAAACTTCCTTAAAATTAAAACTAGTTGGTATTTATATTAAGGTATGGTGGCACACACCTGAAATCCCAGCATTTTGGGAGGCTGCCCCATAAGAATCATAAGTTCAGGCCCAGCCTGGGGAATTTAAGTAACCTAGAAAGATCTTGTCTCAAAATTCAAAATTTAAAAAGGACTGGAATGAAGGTCAGTGGAAAGGCCCTAGGTTCAACCCCCAGTGTCACAAAAACAAAACAAAATTGACAAGACAAAACAAAACAAAACAAAACACTAGTAGGTATTCAGTTTAAAGGACTGCTAAGTGCTAAGCATAATAAAACATCTACCTCCCCCCACATGCACCTTATACCAAATCATAAACCTTGGAGATTACAAAGGTGATCTTAAAATTTCCACAAAATGAACAAGCCACTATAAAAATTCCCACGAAAGACAGAAGCCATTGAAAGAGCAGCACTGAAATCCAGAGGACAATGTTGTAAGAGACCTTTGAAATACTACGATTTTTCAACTGAAATTCCACAGCCAATTCAATCTAAAGGAGAACTAAGATGTATTTTCAAATGTATAAGGCCTGAAAATATTACCTACTATGTACTCTTCTGAAGATGGCATAGGAAAATGTGCTCCAACAAAATAATAAAGTAAACCAGGAAAGAAAACTGATTCAGTAAAAGGAATATAAAACAGGAGAGACAAAGGAATTTTCAGGATGAGAGTGAAAGGTAACAATTGAGGCAGGAGGATCACAAGTTGGAGCTCAGGCTGGGTAACTTAGTGAAACCTATCACAAAATTAAAACCAGAAAAAGGGCTTGGGATGCAGCTCTGTGCAAAGACTTTGGGTTCAACTTCAAGTACAAAACAAAACAAACCCAGTAAAATCAGTTCCTTCCAATATCTGAATTTTCCCCCAGCAATTCCAGACTCTTCTGATGCAGACTGAAGAGGATAAAGTAAGTTCTAGGGCCAGGGGTTTGCCAAAAGATATAATGGAATTGATTCTAATGATGCACAAGCTCTTGACTCCCTTCACAAGTAAGGGATGAATGGAGAGAATTAATAATCAGCATAAAGCACAATCTAACATAAATTAGTAGTCATCAACAAAACATAAAATACACATAATACAGACACCTTATAGATGTCTGTACCAACATCTTACAAACTGTACAATGGAAGACAAACTATGAATTTTGAAGGCAATTTTTCCTTAACTTGAAACTTATGCCATGAATTTCAAATGCAATGAAAAAGTCCTTACCTCATGATTGTAATCCAGGATTCCTTTTAAAATTTTCTTTAAATTGCTAATCTGTTTAAAGAGACAGCAATTGAGTACAAGGCAAACATAAATTAAAATACAGTTCAATATAAAAAATTATCATAAATATTTTCTCATTGACAACAGCACTAGCAACTAACACATGTACTGTGACTATTCTAAATATATCCTAACTCTTATTTCTGTGAGGTAGGTCCCATTGTAATCCTCATTCTACAATGTAGAAACTGAGTCATATAAAGGTCAAATACTTGCCCACCAGACAATAAATGGGAGAGGTGTGATGTAGAGACAGGTGCTCTGGGTCCAAAGCTCATGCCCTCACACATTTTGTTTTACTGCCTTAATTATGTTGCATTTAATGGGCAACTTAGGTTACCTTCACATCTTCAATGTCAGATGATTTCACCATAGGCTAAGTGTCTAACGCTCACTAGACATATTAGATAAAAACCCAATACTTATATATACAAAAATACTTAAAGGTTTAATAAATGGAAAAACAAAAGACATACCTTTAGCCTCCAATTGTCTCCCACTTCAGTTTTGATTCTGTTTAGCCAATTTTCATCAAAATATGTAGGATCTCTGAAAATAAGAAAAGGCTAGTCTATTAAAATCATGTAGCTATCATGCTAAAAAAAACAAAATTGAATCCTACTCCTTATCATCACTTAAGTGAGACATAAAAGTGTATTTGCCACGTATCAGTCACTAAGTAATTTAGTATGTGAGAGCAGCTATAATTATTATATAGCAGATTTCTCTAAAAGCAACTTTATCAGTAACTCACTATAAAAATATTTTTTATCAAAAGGCAAGAAATGCTAATAAGTAGTTAATAGTTTTAAAAGTTATAGTTGAATATACTGAACTAGAATTAACTGTAGATACCATACAAATATCCAGAAAATCAAAAATCAATGGTATAATTTTTAGAAAGACAAGACAGATTAAAGCAGAATGAATTTTTCAGTTAATATTTCAACTACCTCATCACCTAATAATATTCCATAGTCACCAACAATGTCACTAAATTTCGGTTTCTTCAAATAATATAAATGGAGAGCCTATTTCCTCAGATGTAGTACTAGGCATTAGACCAAGTTGGACACCATTTCTGCTTAAGTATTGCTGTGAACAAATACACTGAAACAAGAATAGAACCTAAACATACTTATTTTTCCTAGCAAGAACTCCATACTTTTAACAAATGCTAAGAAGAAAAACTCCAAACTTCTCAAACTAAGCATGAACTTCATCTTAACCTTTTTCAAGCTGATACCATAAGAAATGACATTATTTGTTCAAGACCACAGTGGAACACCTATGCTTATCCTGGTCTAGTAATTGCTAAGTCCAAGATCTTTCCATAACACCAGAACTGCCTTTCTTCAACCAAAGAACAGAATGGCAATGAGACAGGTTGGGAATAAAAGCTACATTTAAACTTTTACTGTTAACTCAAACTGATAAATAGAATCAGTACTAAATTTTATTCAAATTAGCTTTAAATGAAGCAACAGGTTACTTAGCACTTTTAACTTTTATGAAAAAAGAAAAACAGCCAGGGATTTAGCTCAGTCATTCTGCCGCCTGCCTTGCAAGCGCAAGGTCCTGAGTTCGATCCCCGGGACCAAAAAACAAGAAAAGTATACTCAGATAATAAGTACGTATTAAAAAAAAGTTACAACAACTAAGTTATTTCTATAGAAATCAACTGATTTTTGAAGCCTGTACCTTTTTGGTTGTGGGGGGGCAGAGGTGCATGCATGTGGGCCTCCTTTAGACAGGGTCTTGCTATGCAGTCCAAGCTTATCTTGAACTTGCTATGTACCTAAGACTGGCCTCAAACTCAAAATCTTCCTGCCTCAGCCTTTCAAGTGCTGAGAGTACAGGTATTTGCCACCACACACAGCCTAAAAGCCTGTATCTTATTACTCAATAACATTAACTTTACTATCTAGTCTTCTTTTTTTGGTACTGGGGATGGAACTCGGGACTTTGCACTTGCGAGACAGGTGGCAGAACCACTGAGCTAAATCCCCAGCCCTTTTCTATCTATTCTTAAAAACAGCTTCATGTTCTCATTGTATGTGAGATACAATTCACACAGCATACAATATACCCATTTAAAGTATACAAGCAGTATAGTATATTACACTCAAAATTATACAAACATCACCACAGTCTAACCTTAGATCTCATCATCCCGCAAAGGAAACCTTTTTAACAATTAACTGTCATACCTTATTTCCTCTTCCCAGTTCCTGGAAATCATTAATTTCTGCCAACATGAATTTGCCTATTCTGGACATTTCACATGAATGAAATCATGTTATACGGTCTTTTGTGTCTTGCTTTTCTTTCCCCCAGTACTGGGGATCGAACGCAGGACCTTGCACTTGCCAGGCAGGCATGCGGTGTCTTGCTTCTTAGAGCTTTTTTCTTGAGACAGGGTCTCACTTGGTAGGCAACACTAGCCTCAAAATCATGATCCTTCTGCCTCAGCCTGCTATGTGTCAGGTTAGATAGGCATCACTGTGTATAGTTTATTTATTTTTTTCACCAAAACGGCTTTATTTTTGTCACTGACACATACGTGACACTTCAGTGTTGTTATTTTGTTTGCTTTCTCAAATATTATTTAAGTGTGCATTAAAAATGTTTACGTTTAAGAACTGTGACACATGAAAATCCTCTCTGTAAACATTTCAATATATTTTCCTTTGTTTCATACATAAATAACTTAATCTACAAAATCATAAATAAAACCATCAACTCTTAAGGCCCAAAAATATACACAAAATTTGGAGTTTGAGAGAAGTGTTTTCTTTGATTTTATACGTAACAGCCAGTATTTGCCATGTTTATCATCAAACACTTACCACAAATTCTGTCTTTTAACTCATTCTGCCAAAAGACTTTTCAGTTTAATTGGTAAAGATGCCATATATTTGAAAAACTGAAATAGCCAAAAGGCAACATTTATTTTTTAAATGTCAAGAGAAGCTGGCTATTTAAATATTGCTAAATCTTATTAAAATCATTCAGGTATCTGAACAAAAGGAAATGCTACTGAAAAGTAAATTCTTGTACCACCATTTAAATGGCATCTAACAAAACTTAAAATTTAAGAAACAGTAAAATCTAATTAAATCTTTATTAACTTTGCAAAAAAAATTTCACTGAGATTCTGTCACAGGAACAGAACCAATTCTATCCTAAATTTCCTAAAATTTATTCTCAAATTATCTCTTTGATGAGTTAAAACTTCAAGGGTAAAAATGAAGACAAATAAGGATTTTACCAAACCATACTTATAATTCCTGATTCACATTTAATTGGTTTTTAAGGACTGCAAATCCTTACTTCTGCAGAAAATACAATATTTGGTGAAACATACCACCTACCTACTGATTTATTAAATAACCACCCAAGATTACTAGGTAAGCATTCCAGTTACTTTTTTTTTTTCTTTTGGTACAAGGGATCGAACTAGGGTCCTTGTGCTTGGGAGGCAGGCTTAAATCCCTGGCCCTCTAGTTACTTTTAGGTAATAAAAGTTAAAAGGAATTTTGCATGGTGGCTACATTTCATTGTATAAATTATTGTGTAGGCTTTAATAGGATATAAAACTTAGAAAAAATTCTCAATATTCCTATTAGATTTAAATGATTTAAACTAAAATACTATGCTAAGCACAGTCAGTACTTTTAAAATTTTAGTTTCTAGAAGTTTTATTTTTTATTCAACACAAAAATGATTGGCTCACACTATTAACTTCCCAAAACTCTTCAAAGACTGTTCTTTGTTAAAGAGCAGATTACAAGAAATGTTCTCTATGGTTTTATTTTAAAGATAAGATTCTGGTAAACCTAAGAAATCTAAATCAAAATTCACAAATGGTGGCTAAAATCCTGTCAACTTTCAGCCTAGTACAACATAAATCCACAGTTGTTATGCATAAACAATTCAAAATTAAAGTTTATAATGGAAATGTCAACAAGTCATAACTGCTGCACATCCCTGCTGATGGGTTCCACTATACTTCAACCAGGCACAGCAGATGTGCACAGCTGCCAGACAGACTGCTTAGAAAATTAAAGCTATCAGAGCTATAAATAAGGAATACATAACTATGGACACAGCAATGCCAAAGCATTAGAGCCATTTAAAAAAAAATTAGAAAGATGTGCTATAAACACATCTGATAGTTCTCTCTATAAGCCATTTTCATTGATTTATAAAGCTATGGTTTTATAATTCTTTTTAAAGGAAAATTTTTTCTATACTGCTGCATGCAGTAATTTTACTTGTACATTCTTGACTATAATGCAATCTTCAAATACTCTTGCTGAGCTTGACATATCTCATCAAGATTTCTCCAGAAAGTCAGCTTGTCGTATTTTCGGCAGTCTTTAGTGCTTCAGTAGCCTTGTGAAGTTCCTTAATGACCGACGATAAAGCTTCTGGGTTAATGCCTTATTCACAAAGTCATACCCAAATAGACAGTTTCCATATCTAAGCCAGAATTCAAAATTTTTGAAATTGCAAGCAGAACCTGGCTTCAGCCCTCTGGAGCAGGTCTTAAGAGAAGTATCTTGGCTCGTCCATGGTCTCCCTCACCACATTGAGGTTCGTCACCCCTGTGCCACTGCCGCTCGCCACGGCGCACGCCAAGGGAAGCTGGAGCAGGACCTGACCTGGAAATCACTGTGTGTGGTTTAGTGTGTTAAAGTTTATACTGCAGCATGCATTAAAACCCTGCTGCTTTTAAAGGCTGAATAATATTTCATTTATAGATATACCATCACATACTACATAACATTCTGGCCCATGATAGCATATACTATGGTGGTCTCTTAAGATTATATTGCCTAGGGCCGGGGATTTAGCTCAGTGGTTTCGACGCCTGCTGCGCAAGCACAAGGACCCGAGTTCAATCCCCGGTACCAAAGAAAAAAAAGATTATATTGCCTAGTGATGCTGTAGCTACCTTAGTTTCTATTATAAGCATGACATCTGCATAATGACAAAAATTGTCTAATAATACATTTCTCATTGTGCCTGCTATTAGGCAACACATGAGTACATGCAGTACTATTTCTACTTTTTAGCTATTACAAACAATGATATGTTGACACTTGTATACCAGTTTCTGTGTGGACAAGTTTCATGTGGGTATATGCCTAGGGGTAGAATTGTTGAGTCCTATGATAACTCCACGTTTAACATTTGAAGCATAACCAAACTGTTTCCCAAGGTAACTGAACCATTATGCAATCTTGCCAGCAATGTATGTGGGTTCCAATTTTTCCACAGCCTTGCCAACATATTATTTGTTTAGTGACAGCCATCCAAATGAACATGAAGTGGTTTCTAATTGTGTTTTGGGGTTTCTCTGATGGCTAATGATGGTAAGTGACTATTCATGGGATTTTTTTTTTTTTTTTGCCATTTGTATATCTTCTTTGGTGACAAGTCTATTCAGATTGTTTGCGCACTGAAAAACTGGAGCCAGACTAATTGGCATATGTCTATAATTCTAGCACTGTGGGACGCAGAGGCATGAGGATCACCAAGTT